CAAATCCTCCGGGGGGGTCCGGGGGCATGCCCTCCTGGTATTTTTAATGTTGGAGTTAAATGCATCAATCTGGTGCACTTTGAGGGGGAAATAAAGAGACCACACCCTGATGAAACAGAACTGTATACATTTCAATAATCATCAAATCATAAGAACATAACCAATAACAAACCATATCCAATATGAAAAAAATTGAAACTTGTTTATTTATTTGTTTTTGGTTCATTTATAGTTGTGAGTGTCTGTGCTCCTGAATCAGCCTCTCCTCCCTGCTCCTCTTTGAGGCAGCAGCAAAGACTAGTTTTAGCTGCACCGGGTGTATATAAAGAGGTCATAGGTGACAGGAAGAGGCAGGACACAGAAGGAGAGAGCATACCAATTCCACCAGCCCGGCAGATGCTCATCACAACAACAAAAACTGTACAATCAAACCTGGTATGTAAAACGCTGAATAAAACATCATTATAAACTGCAAATAAGGACCGGAAAGTCATCTGTTTGTGTCTGCGTGTGGATCACTCTTCACCCCTTCTGTGACGTAATGACAAAAATATATTGGACATGGGAACAGGAATTGCCATTACAGCCATGACATGGGACCTTTAATGTATTATATTATTGAGGTCCAGGGCTAAAGAAAAAACATCCAGGGCTAAAGTACGGTGGCTCTGAAGTGCAAGTCAAAACAGCATTTCAGGAAACACCACAGCATTTCAGAAAAGGCTACAGTATTTCAGGAAACACCACAGCATTTCACAAAACACCACAGCATTTCACAAAACACCACAGCATTTCACAAAACACCACAGCATTTGAGAAAACACCACAGCATTTGAGAAAACACCACAGCATTTCCGGAAACACCACAACATTTCACAAAACACCACAGCATTTGAGAAAACACCACAGCATTTGAGAAAACACCACAGCATTTCACAAAACACCACAGCATTTCAGAAAAGGCTACAGTATTTCAGGAAACACCACAGCATTTCACAAAACACCACAGCATTTCAGGAAACACCACAGCATTTCACAAAACACAACAGCATTTGAAAAAACAGCACAGCATTTCACAAAACACCACAGCATTTCCGGAAACACCACAGCATTTCACAAAACACCACAGCATTTGAGAAAACACCACAGCATTTCACAAAACAATACAGCCGCGGTGAAACCTGAAACTCGAGCGATTAGAGCAATGCGAATATTCCTGAATATTCTGGGCTTATATCCATGTAAATACTATGGTAGACTACATCAAAATGAACATATTTTACCGTGATTTAATTGTAATACACGTTTCAAAATGATGCCGAAGTAACAACATACTGATACCGGTTAGTAAAAACCATGAATTAATGTGGTGACAAGTGTGCAGACAAGACGGCAGGCGAAAGACCTTTTTAAAATGCGTGTTTTCTGAATGGAGATCAGATCGATCAGGATAAACCAAACTGTAGCTCAGTGGCTCTCAAACTTTTTCTACCATTCCCCTCTTTGAACAGCCTTTTCAAGCCCCACCTGTGAGCTACTTTTACTCCTCTTTTTTTTTTGTTGCAGTGAATATATTTAGCATATGTTAACATTATTATATGCTTACCTTTAACCTTTATGTGCTGTTTGGGTCTTTGGGACCCGTTTTCAGTGTTTACTCAAATAAAATGTATGCAATTTAATTATTTCAACCTGCTTTATTACTACTCTTGGGGGGCCCGGGGGCATGCACATTCATTTATGGATACAGCTCTCAACCAGGGACGTGTGAACTGTTCTAATTGTCTCTTATTGCTAAACTCGGTTACTTTTACAGCTGGTTTTAATAAAAAAAATGTTTTCCATATCAGAACCCCTTAATAGCAATCACATCAAACATCCAACCACTTGTTACCGTAAAAAAATCGACTTTTCCCTTCAGTGGTCATTTCTACAGAGAAACCTGAACGCAACATCCCAGCAATGAATTGAGGTTAGAGGATGAAAACAGTAATGGACAAGGAACGCACATAAGGTAGCCTTGTATTACTACAAAAAGCATTGTTTCATGTTAAATAATTTGTTCAGCTTAAATGTGTTAACAGTGTACCGAGGGAAAATCGTGTATTCTATAAGAATACTGTCGTTTCGACCTACGACTGCTTGTTGGGTAGCTAAGTTAGCCTCCGTAGCTTAGGAACTAGCTAGCGTTATTAGCTGTGTGTAACATTACCGTTGTGACATTGAACAGTACGACTCAGATAGTGGGAAATATTAGCTTGCATTCGCTGGTTTTAATAATATTAAAAGAGAACATCTTGATTACCGACTGTGTCGCTTGCAGCCGTTAGTTCACTCCCCCTACTCTGTGTTCTCGCTCAGCTGTTGTTGTTATGGCTGTTAGTGAAATCAAACAGCAGCCATCATGTTATCCCACAGGATAGACGTGTAGTTATGTTGTCATACATGATGAGTATGCAACTGCAGACCAATTTATCTGCGCCATAGCTACGATGCACACATAATTCTCGCTTGTAACTGTACAAAATATAGCAGTTTGTCCGTGGTTGTATTCTCTTTAGCGACCTCATGATGTCGCTGTTTTTCATTTGGTCATACATTTGCATTTTCATATTAATTGTATGTCTAATGAGATCTTAACTGGCAAGACTGAATATACTTGTATGGCAAATTAAATGTAAAAAAAATCTTCATTGTAACGTGTAAGTCACAATTTAAAGTGGACCTATCATGCTATATTTCAATAATATATTGTAGGGTCATACCTATATAAAACATGTCTGTGACATTTTTTTTTCAAAATACCAAACAGATCATGCATTTTAGCCATGCCTCACTTCGCTCTATTTGCTCTATTCCAGCCCTGTCTTCACAAGGGCTGATTCTGTGGCAAATGAGCTGCAGCTGACCACAGGGGGGCGAGGCACGAGCGTCATGTTACCATGCTGTTACCATGCCACGCAACCTCTCATTCCCCTGATAGGTGGAGAGTTGCCCATATAGGCGGAGCACCCCGTTTCTGACGTCAGAACAATTTCAAATCTGTATCAGTCTGTATCAGATCCTTTGCAGCCCCGTTTTTAGAGATTTGGGTATGGAGGAAAAGAGAGAGGGTTGTGTTTTCTACACTTGGTGAGTTCCCTGACACACCGGGGACACATATTCATGTATAAAAGACATACAAAAGTGCATTTTGCAGGATAGGTCCCCTTTTAAATTACCGATATATTTCATTTCCGATCTGGTGTTCAGAGATTAGACCAAATTAAAGATATATATCTATAGAATGCTATTTCTAATATCTAGAACTACCATTAAGGCATTACATTTGAGTTTCTATTAGAAACCATTCCCTTTTACAATATGTTGTATATGATCAATAAAGCTGCAGATGAATAGACTATCAACTAATCAAAAGACAGAAATATCATAATAGCCAACTATTTTGATAATTGATTTATGGTTCATGTTCAAATAATTGTTAATGCAAAAATGAACAGCTTATTTAAGTATTTATGGGTTTCCAACTGACAAAGCAAGACATTTGATCATATCACCTTTGATTTTAAGAAATTGGGATGGAAATGTTAAAATATTGTCTGGCATTTTATAGACTGAATTATTATCACTGTGGATACACATACACTTATTAAAACTGTGGATTAACTTTAAAAAACGTTGAATGCAGCCCTAATGATGAACAGTTCAGCATTTTCGTAATACCATCGAGTAACGAGCATGCTGACAGGCTGTCACAAAACTGTAAATAAGTGATGACCTTTCTGTATAATATAAGCCTGCAACGTGTGAGACTGAGTCGCTGTTTGAGGGTGTTTGGATCCACATGTCACTTCTATTTTAGTTTTTTCCACCAGCTCTGTTGCATTTTATTTCTCAGAGTTAATGTAATTGTACTTGTCTGACCTCACTACAGGTTGTTTATGTCATACCACTGACTGGCACTTCACGAAAACCACGAAAGGAGACAAGAGAGAGTCAGGAACCATGGAGGCTCGCTTTGGTAATATTGTGTTCAGCTCCAAGTTTGACTCAGGGAACCTGGGACGTGTGGAGAAGGTGGAGAAGGGAAGCTCCAGCCCTCCTACCGATATAGCGCCCAGTGGGAACACCCTCTCAGGATCCAACCTTACCCCTGACTATGAGTTCAATTTGTGGACACAGCCAGACTGCGCCGGCACGGAACATGAGAATGGAAACAGGTATAATATGTAATTATTTTATGTTATTCACATGAGGTCAGAAAAATGTATGAACAACACATTTTTCTAAAACTTGAATTTTATATAATCTAATAACAAAACAAAAAAAATGAGTGTAGAAAAAAAAGACATACACATCAACATTAATAAAATAAATGATATTAAAACAAACATTTAACATAACATTTAAAGATCGCTTTCAAATGGTTGACTGTGATCTGATTCAATACATTGTCTTGTCCTTAATTGTTTGGTAAATTTGTGATATTTAGGAAATGTGTAATATTGCAATCTGGTTTAGTCACCACCATTTAACAAATCTTAAATTGGAGAGAGTTTTGGCTTTAAGTGATGGGCCAAAGTTCACCACTGTAAAGGAAAGTGGTGCGTGAGATTTTAAATGACACAATAAAAAATGAGAACATTATTTTTAAACCTATAGGCAATTCTATTATCTTGTTTTCATAACCATTTGAAGCCACAAACCATGATTGAAATTTTAAATATAATAATTGCACAACATTGCACCTATTAGCAATTTCTTTTTGGAAATACATATGTGTTTTTGCTGTTTCAGATCGTGGTTTTACTTCAGTGTACGGGGTGCTGCACCAGGGAAGATACTGAAGATCAATGTGATGAACATGAACAACCAGAGGAAGCTCTACAGCCAGGGCATGGCTCCTCTTGTACGCACTTTACCTGGCAAGAACCGGTGGGAAAGGATCCGAGACAGACCCACATGTGAGGTATGTACGCATCCTGGCTGTCAGGGAGAGGAAGTGGGCATCAGGTATCAGCAAGCCTGAATGCTCTTATTATGTTTTATATAAAATATCCCTTTTTCTGTGGTTTTGCAGATTGTAGATAACCAGTTCATCCTCTCGTTCACTCACCGGCTGTTGGAGGCTCGCGGGGCAACCACCTTCTTCTCTTTCTGCTTCCCGTTCTCCTACAGTGAGAGCCAGGAGATGCTGCAGCAGTTTGACAAGAGCTTCACCAATTCTGCTCAACTCAGTCCGAGCAGGTAAAACAAACACATCATCTGCCCTCAAACACACATACTATGGGAGGTAGACGCTATTGTATGCTTAAACGTTGACTTGAGAAGGACACATTTCCGGAGAATGCAGATTTGAAAAGGATTAAACAATGTATTTCCATTTCACAGCTTTGTAGTATCTTCTTACAAAGTATACAGAGTTGAGTTCTCCTGCAAACTAAACCATGGTACGCAAGGGTGTAACTTTGTTTTGAGAAGTGGGGGGGACACAAAACAGGGGTCCTCCGCAGTGAAACATTGTTCTCGATTTAATTCCATCTCCTGCCTTTCTACAAATATATTAGGGACTATGATGTTAAAAAATCCAAGAAAAATTTGTAGTGTATATAATGAGTGCGGAAACGTATCTAGTATCCTATCCATGTGAGCCTGTTTTATTTGTGACGACCTCACGTCCTCTAGGGGGGTCCGGAGGCATGCACCCCTGGGAAGATTTGTTTCTTTAAATTGAAGTTAAAGGCATCAATCTGGTGCACAAATTAAGAGATTTATGGATACAGCTCTCAGCACTTGAAACAGAACTGTAGGCCTATATATTTCAATACTCCAAAAACCATTAAAATATGCTCACAAGCAATAACAAATCATTGATAAACTCCTCTCTCCTATTTTTATCATACCTAGTCTGCATTCTTTCTTTTTATTTATGCATATTTGACTAATCACTCCCCTTTTAAACTGTGTTTTTTTATTATTTACTGGACATTGGAATTATTTCTTAACTTATTTTGAACTTTAAATAGATGGAAATATTTGTTTACATAGATGACCAAACCGTTTGAGACCCACTCAGATAACTTAGACTAAGGTTTACAATCTAATCACTTAGTCCTTTACCTCCCTGATCTGACGTTATCTCTCGCAGTCCGACAGGAGAGGATTCTCCCTCTCCTTATTGTTGAAACAGCTTCTAATCTCCGTTAGCTCCAAGCTAGCACCAGATGCTAACAACAACCCCTGTAACTCCCTCTGTCTCTCTCTGTGTGTGTGTCTCTCTCTCTCTCTGTCTGTCTGTCTGTCTGTCTGTCTCTCTCTCTCTCTCTCTCTCTGTCTGTCTCACTCTGTTTCTCTGTCTCTCTCTATCTGTCTCTCTCTCTCTCTCTCTCTCTCACACAAAATGCGCTCGTGCCACCACACAGATGCTCCTCCGTGACGATGAGCGCTTGAGTAAAAAAAAAACAATAAACACATTTGCAAAGTGGGGGAGACACAAACGGGATTTTGAAAAGTGGGGGGGACATGCTTAAATGCAACTCAGCTCCCACGCAGACACACAGCCATGTTTAAAAACGTCGTTATTTGAAGACTTACCTTAATGTCGTTTTTTTCCCCCTGCCCCTCTAAATTGTACATTTTCTGACTTTCTCCCCCACCAATCTCCTTCCTCCCTCTGTCAGTGCCCCGGAAAGTGTGTATTATCACAGGGAGTTGCTGTGCCACTCTCTGGATGGCAATAGGGTGGACCTGCTCACTGTGACCAACTGCAACGGGATGCAAGAGGAGAGAGAACCCCGCCTGCCTAAACTGTTTCCAGACACAAACACTCCACGACCACACCGCTTCTCCAGCAAAAGGGTATCACTCAATTCAACATAAACACAGAATCTCTTTTCTCTTTTGTTATGTCAAAGCAGTGATGCTGACCCTTGTGTGTTTCACAGGTGTTTTTTCTCAGCAGCAGAGTGCACCCCGGGGAGACTCCGTCATCCTTTGTGTTCAACGGTTTCCTAAACTTTATCCTAAGAAGGGATGACCCCCGTGCTCACGCACTTAGAAACATGTTTGTGTTCAAGCTCATTCCAATGCTCAACCCGGACGGGGTCGTCCGTGGGCACTACAGGTAAGAACTGCCCATGTTCTCACCTGCACTGTGCTCAAAAACAACATTGTCAACATTTATTTTCATTTATTTATTTATCAAGTTGATCAGAAAGTGCAACTTAATGGACATGAGTAAAGAATACATCTATATACAGTGATGCAAATTAGTCGCTTTTCGGCGCCTCCCGCTTTTTTAACGCTGATTTGGGTGACTTGTGTAATTCGTGGAGAACCGAAGAGTTTTCGTTTTGGGGGGGGAGGGTCCGTCAGTCCGTCCGTCCGTCGGACTTCTCACTTCAAAAAAGAAGAAGAAATCTAGATCGCAAAATAATTAAACAAGCGAGTGCCTGTTTTTCCTGGCCAAGGACAGGTTCCTTGAACACAACACGAGCGTAACGTGTCTTCACGTGGTTATGTTTCGTCTGAAAGGAGTATCGGAGAGCATCGGAACGCCGCTCCAGCTCTTCAAATATTGCAGTACCCATAAGGAGCCGTACACATGCCGCAGTGTTTGGGAGCTGCGTCTTTAGTTGTAAGCACAGTGGCGATCTTGTTATTAGCATCTGGTTAGCTAGCTATGCTAACGAATTTAAAGAGCTTTTCTACAACCAGGTGGAAGAGAGCTCTCTCCTGAGAGGCTCAAATAACCTCAGCTCAGTGAGGTTAAGGCACACCTTGATATGATCATTATAGTTATTAATGAGACATTAGAGACTAAATTATTAACAGGTATAAAATACTATAGCCTATGACAGTAACAAAAGAGTTTTGGTGGTCATGCCACAACCGTGCACGTGAATGCATGCATGCATGCGTCAAACATGAGTCATGGTGAGATATCTGGATTAAGAAGTTGCTTTTTCTTTGCACAGCATGAAAGAAAGGCCAAATGAATTGGCTGTGATTTTAGTTTTTTTAAGCAGAGGTTGAGTTCAATAATTTGTACGGCCCTCGGAGGATGTTGTACAAATTGAAAGGAAAAAGGTTCCCCACCCCTGCTGTAAATAATAATAAAAACCCTTGATTTATTCATCTCTTTTATATTATAATTTATTTAACATCTCTGTCTCCTAATGATCTGAGTAAATTATAAAGAATAGCCATTTAATTGAAGCATTATAGCACAGGCCATTGTCAGATGGTATATTACGCTTTTTTTTTTCTGCTTCGAATAGTTCTCTCTTTTTTCACCATACCTGTGTTTGCATCACTGTATATATGTTAACGGTTTTACCTAATTGAATTGGTTTTAATCACATTTAGACTATATCTTACATACTTATTACATGTTTTATGTATCTCATTTTTATTTATCTATTTAATTTACGCTTACCAGTGTTATCCTTTGTTTCCTTTGTCTCTTATTGGTGTTGCCGCTATGACACCTGAATGTTTTTTATCTTAAACAAGTAAAAATGCGTTTTAAAATGAGTTAAGACTTGTCTGACTCAGTGATTGGTATATAGTTTAAACTCCTTTTTCCTACCATCCTTCAGTCACAGGGATACTTCCCCTTCCTGAAATGTGTCCTATACATTTTCATACATATAAAAAGCTGATTAAAACCCTGCTACATGCATAATAAGGTTCTTGGAGGAGACATCTAGCTGAAGAAGTAAGGTTCTGCTCCTTCTCAATTATGGAAACAAGTTTTCTAGTAGTGTGTATGACATTTAAGTTCCCAGGTTACTGCAGAAAGCCAGCTGTAATCCAGTCATTTACAGTAAGTGCATGTAAACACACACACTGCTGGTCTGGCAGAGGTTAGAGGAGCCAGGTCGGATGTCAAGTGTTGAGCAAATATGGGTTGAAACTGCGTCACTATGTCTCAGACAATGCTGTTTTAGGGGTATCAGTTAACAGTGTCAGGGTCTGCTGCTTCCTCTTTAAGCTAATGTGGGAACTTTTTTAGAAACTTAGCACAAAGTGCCATTGATTTCTAAGACCTACTTCATTGGAGAAATGCATGGCAGGACTTCGGCTGTCCCACCACCCAAAACATATTTTAGCGATGTTATTTTTAATTTTTTGGGAATGGTAACTCTCTTTTTTGCAGGACTGATTCCAGGGGTGTGAACTTGAACAGACAGTACCTGAACCCCAGCCCTGAGCTGCACCCTTCCATCTATGCAGCCAAAACACTTTTGCTCTACCACCACACACACAACCGCCTGCACAACACACAGTCCAGCACTCACTTTAACAGCACCTCAAACATGCAGTCCCCGCCCCTTAGCAATCCACCCGCCAATCAGCACCAGTCTCCTCCCTTCACAGCCCTTGAAGTTAGCTTAAACCAACGAAATGCGGAGAAAGACGCAAATCCTGCATCGCCAGAAGTTCCCATGGTGATGGAGGAAAACGGCTGGGTTACCAACGAGATGGAGAAAGGGGACCTAAACACGTCATCAAGCTCTCCGGAGACTGTACTTCCTGTTACTGTTGAGGAAACAGTACCACAGGTGGAGGAACATGAGTCAATTCCAGCCCAGGAGGCGGGTGTGGCGTATTATGTGGACCTACACGGCCACGCCTCTAAACGGGGGTGCTTCATGTACGGAAATAACCTCTCTGACGAGAGCCAGCAGGTAAACGCTTTGATTCTTGTTTTTTGTCTTTTCTTGAAATATTCTTCTCCAGCAGCTACAGCAGATAGGGTGCTAATACGTTTTGTTATGCACATCTAAGCTCTTGTTCACTCCCTCTGCAGGTAGAGAACATGCTGTATCCAAGGCTGATAGCCATCAACTCGGCCAACTTCGATTTCCAGGGCTGTAACTTTTCAGAGAAAAACATGTATGCACGAGACAAGAGAGACGGCCAGTCCAAAGAAGGCAGCGGGAGGGTGGCCATTCACAAGGCCATAGGGCTGCTTCACAGGTCAGATTGGATTCACAAAGCATTAAGAGTTGATGGTAGTCGCTCCAATATGTGACATAGCAACTTTCAATAATCCATTTAAAAAAACAATTGTTTTGTTTTGGATAGAAAAAAATACACCTTTCTGGAATTAAAGAAATGTGATTACCCACCTTTTAATATTTCATGGTGTTTTTACTCATATTTAACTACGTCAAAATGTAAAAATGTAATTTGACAACACTCAACTAACTCTATTTCAACTAAATGTAAACCTTTTTTCTCCTAAAGAAATCTAAGTTGACCCAAAAAGGGAAAAATACAAATAAGTGTGTTTTTTACAAAAGCAATCCTATCGGGATTAATCAAATGAAAATGTACTTTTGACAAAACATTACTAAACCCCAGTACTTGCTTGTCCTTTTAAATAAAACAAATGTCCATACTGTTTCTACCCCAATTTCATAAATAAACAACCCATAAACCAGTAATTCAAATTCATTTATAAAGTCAATTTATCGCCCAGTTAATTACCATCAGTCTGGCATCAGTCCTTTCTCTGTCATTACAATAAAATGGAGTTTGACAACACTCAATTAACCCTATTTGAATTAAATTTCAACTGCCGTCAGTCCTTTCTCTGTCATTACAATAAATATGAATGGTCCGATGTTAACTCATAAAGTTTAAAAACATTTGCTTGCTGTTAATGTATATGTTTTATAAATGTTTCTGTTATTGGATCCCAACCAGCTACACTTTGGAGTGCAACTACAACACTGGAAAATCCATGAACACCATCCCACCTGCTTGCCATGACAACGGACGGGCAACCCCACCTCCACCTCCATCATTCCCTCCGAAATACAATCCAGAAATATTTGAGCAGGTAAGTAAACAAGAATGATTTCTGTCCAGGTTTGACTTCTCATTCAGTAAGGAATGTGATTGCATGGGTACTTAAATGAAACATGACGCATCCTCCTGATTGATGTTTTGAATCAGGTGGGGCGTGCCGTGGCTATCTCAGCCCTGGATATGGTGGAGTCTAACCCCTGGCCTCGCCTGGTGCTGTCGGAGCACAGCTGCCTGACGAACCTTCGAGCTTGGATCCTGAAGCACGTCCGCAACAGCAAAGGCCTGAACACACACATCCACGCTCATCCTGTGCCAAGAATTCACCACAACGGCAGCAAGGCCTCCCCGCCAAAGAGCTTCAACAAGTGAGTTTACATGTAAACGATGATTTGCAGTGAGCTGGTTATTTTAGCGAAAATGTTTACACTCCCAGTCCATAAAGGGACCGTTATACCTTGTTCCCTTAAGTGTTTACTTCCTGTCTGTCGTCCTTTACTTCTTCAGATTTTTCTTTCCTCCAGCTCTCTTTAGCTCTTTCCTTCTCTTGTCTTGTTTTCTTGTTCTCTTTCTCTTTTTCTTTTCTTTACTCGGGACATTTTAGCTATCATAAATCCAAAGTTTTGCGCTCTCATTCAGAAAGCATTCTATGATGTTTCCTGATGGAGGAAAACTTGATATGTCTTGATCTAAATTGATATGACTGCACATGGTCCCTTTATCAGAACGTCCTTAGCAGCGATCTGCTATCGAAAAGGAATGTTGAATGTCCAAATTGACCAATCAGAATCAACTTTTCAGCTAAGCCGTTTAATAACTCTATACATCCCCAAAAAAGGCTACACTTCAGTTCCCTAGCTTATTTGTATGTTACATTAAGGTCTTCCTGTTTGTCTCTTCCAAGCAGCTGTCTGTCTGGCTCAGCGTCAGAGAACGCCCTCAGTCGCATTCGCTGTAACAGCCACAGCAGCAGCAGCCAGACGCCCTCCCCGAAGATGCACAACTCCCCCAGCTTTACGTTCGGCTGCCCCCCGCCCCGCACCCACACGCAGCACAACAGCACGCATACCAGCGGACGCGGAGGCAACAAAGCACTCGGGCCGGTCAGGGGTGAGTCGACCTCTTAACCATCGCTTCTGTTGCTGGCTGGCACTTTCTATCACCCCTCTCTGGGTGTACCTTCGCTCTTCTTATTTTCTTTCTAAACATCACTTATTCTGTCATCTAGTTTCTCTCATTTCTTGCTACCATCCTCGGTTTCTGCTGTTGGAGTGGTCGAAATGGGTGTTTGATGTTTTTAGTGTCTCTGTAACTGTTACTTCAGGTTTATTGTGATGGTTGTTTATATTATGTACGGAAGCCCTGAGATCTACGTAAGAAAAAGACATTCTGGTGATTTATTTCTCAATCTGATCTGAGTGTTTTCCTCTCCTAAGTTCATGACTTAACAGCACATGTTGCCAAGACAAACTCTATCATCTATCATTATTATTTTTTTCATCTATGCAAAAGGAGAAATAAAGTTTTGCCAGGATAATCTAAGTAACATACTGTGTGATGTGTTTTAACTTGTCAAAACACACCATGTATCACACTGTTTTTAAAGTAAAACGACAAACTTACCTGGAAAGAACCAATCATTATTTAGTCCTGTTTAGAAAATAGGGAAGTGGTGCACCTGAGCCTCTTGTGGCCACAATGACCGCAGCAACAACAAACACTTGTTTTTTTTTAATACTTTTTTAAATGTATGAACAAAGAGAGAAAAAATTAGATCAGACTTAGAAAATGTATCACCAGAAATGTTGGGAGTTGGCTGGATTTTAGAGACACATTGAGCACTGTCCTGGTGTTCCTATGGCCTGAAACATCAGTATGACCCCTGCATGACCTTCATATGACCTTACCACCTGTGCATGCATTTTTTGCCTTTACATTATTTGTATACCCAGATGAAACCCCATGAGCCCTGTTCCAAAAAACACCCAGATCAAATTGGTTATTTATACAAAAAGAACATTTCCATGAAGCTGACATATTTTAAAATGTTTGCATTTTATTCCATCGTACATAATTCTTCCATCTCGCTAAGTCGCTAATGTGAAGGAGACCTCATGTGTGTGTACCCAATCCCTGCATGTCTCTGAGCATGTGTGTGTGTCTCCCTCTCCGTAGACCCTAAGCCTCAGGAGAAGAGACGCCCCCCCCACCACCGCTCCATCCTACGGTCTCCCAGCAATAGCCACACACCCTCCCACCCCCCCGCCTCACCCCCTTCCTCTTCCTCTTCCTCGTCTTCCTCGGTGTGTGCGGTGGGCTCCTGTCCCATCGTGGCCTCCGTCACTATGACAGGTCTGTACTCCCTCCAGTCCCCCAGCCTCTCGACCTTGCTCCCCTCCCTGCAGGCTCTGCCCCGCCCCGGGCTGCTCTCCAAACTGAGCCCCCTGCTCCTTCAGAGCCTGCCGGCACCCCCTACCTCTCCAGCTGGGTCCACACAGGACTCAATCTGACCTGACCTGTGAGAGCTTGGGCGTAGGTGTGTTTTGCTGAGTGAGTGTGAGCTCTTAGAACTGCTTGGAGTACCAGACAAGGTGTTAGAAGCTATATTAAGAGACTGTATTTACAGAAACGGCATCTGCCTGATACTCCAAGTACTCTCGGTCAACACAAGTGCAAATCACTGCTTGGTCTCCGGTGTGTGTGTGAAACTGGTGCTAACAATTCAAAAACATTTCCTTAAATACATGTATCGTTGTTTTTCATTCTGCACATATCTGTTAAATATGAAGGTTCTGAGAGGTAAGTGAGAAACATTAGAAACATTTTATTCTGCCATGTTTTAAGTTATTATGTTTTTATTAAACTAGGACCATGCATACAAATACATTTCTCAAAGAGAAGAGACGATTTATGCCATTTTCTCTCATTTCCATCTGCTGTCCCCAGGCATGTACACACACAATAATTAATAAACACTTAAAACATGAATTAGTCTCTATTACACTCACAATCATACAGACTGTATCAATCAATTGCTTTTTTTCCTGTATTAATGAGCGCAAAACAGGTGAAAAGAAAGGTTTTGCCTCAGTAATCTAACTTCATTCCAAAAGGTTTTGGCTTTTTGCCAGTATAGTCTTTCTGAGTTACTTGAGTTTAGTTTGTGGAAACGCCTTAAATCACAGGAAAGAAAACATTTATATCAGACCTTGAAAATGGATTATAGGGCTTTTGTTTCTCACTTACCTCTTTGGGTGTCTGTAGTTTAAAGACATGTTTCTACAGTATTAGCATTTTAGGATGAATATAACACTTGAGAGTGGAAGCGTTTCTAGAATCTCAACTGTGACTGAAAAGTTTGAATTTGATTTCAAACCATAAATCAAGCAAGGGCATCTTGGCTAAATAATCTCCCTTTTCTCCCAGGACTCACAGAACATATAGATATTTGCGGCACACATTAATATTAAAAAAAAATTATACTAAATGATAATATTACTTGGATTAAGTATTTTTTTCAGTCTGTAATAAGTTGCAAAAAATACCATGTTACTGTGCTGACATTTGGGGAATAGCCAGGGCTTTTCATAACACTGTCTTGTTTTTACACGGTTTCTGTTTTAATGGGAGCTGTTTAAAAAGAGCTCAAATTAGAATGAGATACTTTTGCCATATTGCACTTACTTTTTTTGATTATTTATTGTTGTATTTATTTTTTTGAGAACTTTTAGATTGAGCCGGAACAAAGTGTGGCTTCTGTGTTTGTACATTTGCTGAAAGCTACTTCTCAACTCAGTGTATTTTGCTCTGTAATTGTTGGGGAAATACTCAATGTACTCTTCCAATATCAGAGTAGTGCATGATAACAACTGTGTACGTAACAGGATGTATGATAACCTAGAAGAGCGTCAGGACACAATATGATAAGCTATGTGACAACGATTAACATGATGATTTAGCCTCAAGCATGAACATTTCTGACGTGGGCCTTAGCTAATCTAAAGGACACTGTTCAGGAACTAGTTGTCCCATACGCTCTGTATGTGATGACTACTTCCATTCTTGCAAGGATAATAAATACATGTATCCTGATATTGAAACTCAAGCTGGTGACGAGTGATATTTTCTAACATAATAATTATGTTAGAAAAATACTTAATTTTGCCCTTATGGACAATTTCCATCGCTCCATCTCATATCGATTTAAGAACAAGCCATCAAAGCACCTGTCAACAGCTATAAGTTAAAACAGGCTCAGCTGCTCAGCATCATCTCTCTGTTTCCAATGCAGCAAACCACAAATTAATTTCAGCTGAAACACTCTTTGAGATAAATTCATAGCGATAAAGGTTAGACATTTGAATGAACTCACACACATTTCAGCCTCGAACACAACTTCTTTTCTGTCTGATTATCAT